GTGTCGAATATTGTCGCGCATTCTGTAATTCTTGAACAGTCGACTTTCGAGCCAGTAAGTCTGGGAATGATTAAACGGGTACTCTGGTAGGTCAACTACCATTTTCGCCGGTCGGTTCGATCCATGGCTATTGACAGCTTCGATCTTGACAGGGTAGCCTTCAGTCCAAAGTTTCCCGGAGAGCTGCTGCAAGGATTTCAGTCCAGAGACACCTCGTCGCATTGCTGCATCATATTTGACGTTTTCAGAATGAGGCACATTGTTCATGACCGCTCTCTGCATAGCTGCGTGTGGACCAATCTCAACGTAGTGATCCACTTGCGCGTTAGACCCATTATTGCGGCTGGCTTGGGACAGTTCACCAAGAGCTTCAGAAAACCTGACAGTCGACACGAGATTCTTCACCCAGTATTGGGGCAGAGAGAGCTGTTTGACTGGAACAGGTTGTCCTGTGACGGATGAAAAAAAGACGGGTGTTTCTCCTTTCCGAGCAGATTGATGCGGTTGGCAAATACCTTGCAAAAGGCTCTTATATTCTTCGGCAATCACTTGCATGTGAGAAGAGTGGTAGGCAACTGGGATTCTCAGCTTGCGGGCAAACACCTGCTTCTCGTCTAGGCGGACCTTGAGGGTGTCGATAGACTTGTCCAATCCTGTCACGGTTATGTTATTGGCGCTATTGATGCAGCCAATTGACAAGCATTGTTTGCCATGGACAGCCGAGATCTCGTCGAAATGAGGCTGGAGTTCGGATACGGACAAGCCAACAGCCATCATCGCCCCACGTTCGCCAGTTTTTGACTCCGCTACCCGAGCAGCCAGTGCTCCACGGAAATAGGCAATTGTCCATGCTGATTCACGGGAAATTGCCCCTGCGCAAAATGCAGCGGCAATCTCTCCCGACGAATGACCCACCACGCCCCAGGGAACCACACCCCATCCCTCGAGGAGCTCCACCAGTGCTACCTGCAGAGCGGTACATAGCGGCTGTGCTAACGCCGGGCTATCAATCTGAGAGGAATCTGCAGCCTTATGCAGCTCTTCGATCAGCGACCAAGAGCTTCCGAGTCCTTTCAAATAGGAGTCCGCCTTTAGAATGCTTTGCCGGAATGTCTCGTATTTCAGAAGCTCAATACCCATTCGGGCCCACTGTGCACCTTGACCGGTAAAGACAAAATTGATCCGCGGGCTTGTCGACGATCGCACGGGCTTCGGCATATTTTGTACCTGCGTCTTGAGACTTTCCAGGTCTCCTGCCAACGCGAAAGACTTCCAGGGCAGAACACTGCGTTTGTTGGATAAGGTATATGCCAGATCCCGCAAGAATTCCTCCGATGCGTCATGAGAGTCGATTCCAGTTAGGTAGTCTTCATATGCTGCCCCGAGTCGCTCAATTCCGTTGGAATCGGATGCAGACCAGGTGAAAACGTATGGGGTCTCTTCCGGTTCGTCATGCGACGTACCATTTGACACTGTCGCACCGGTTTCATTGTGGTTGTTATAGCCATTGGTTGAGTGGCCATTTGTGTCTCCGTTTGTATGGCCATTTGCATTACCGTTCGTGTGACCATTAGCGTGGCCATTGGTGTAGCCATTACTGTGGCCATTGGTAATGTTATTTGTGACGTTGGTCACGCCATTCTCTAAGATGGCCAAGGAGGGCGGTCTTTTTGCAGTGACGTGGTGTGCTTCAAGGCCATGCTCCCGCAGGTAGTTGTATGCGTCATCCAGGACGGCGTGGGCATTCGATCCTCCATAGCCAAATGCGTTGACCGATGCCCGTCGGAGACCATCTGTGGGCCATGGAAGCGGCTTGGTCGGGAACTTTAGGTTCCATTCATCTGCCGGAATGCGCGGGTTGACCTCTTTCAGTCCAGCTATCGGCGGGATGATGCCTCTCTCCAGACTCAGAATTGTCTTGATCAAGCCCGCCAGACCAGCTGTCGCTTCTAGATGGCCGATGTTGGCCTTCACCGCACCAATGTGCATCGGGTCATCCGGGCTACGGTGTTTCTGAAAGACTGATTTGATGGCACCAGCTTCAATGGGATCACCTAGTTTCGTTCCCGGGCCATGTGCCTCAAACAACCGGGTGGATGCGAGATCCAGGCCACCCGAACGGTACGCCTCCCGGATCAGCATCTCCTGAGCTGCCTGACTTGGCTGAGAGATACCGGGAGTGCGCCCATCTTGGTTCGTCGCAGTCGCTCGGACCACTGCTCGAATTACATCGCCATCAGCTATAGCATCACTTAACCGCTTCAGTACCAGGACGCCGAACCCTTCGCCCTTGGCATAACCGTTCCCATCAGCCCCAAAGCTGTGGCAGCGACTGTCAGGAGAAATAAATTGCAGAGCGGAGAGCGAGATCGCGCTTGTCATTGGTTCGAGGTAGAGCTGTGAGCCGCATACCAAACTCTAGACATTCCCTGTCAGCTAGTGTTACGTGAGCATTTTTGGGGTTGCACTCACCATTCGCGACTCCTTCGAGCGAAGGCTCTGACAGGCAAGGTGCAGGCCAATCAAGCTGCTAGAGCAAGCTGTTTCAATGGTCATACTCGGCCCCCGCAAGTCGTAGAACCAACTCAGCCGGTTGGCTAAGATGGCTCCTGAGTTACCGGTAGCTTTATACGTGGCCTGGACCTCTTCGTCAAATTCGAAGAATCGGTTGTACTCAACTCCCAACGCCCCGACATAGACGGAGGTGGCGGAGCCCGCTGCTCTTTCGACGGGAATGCCAGCTGCCGTCACTGTTAGTATCTTACTCCATGATGTTTTTCTAAGAGTCTTACCATTCTCGAGGGCCCTGTAGGTTGTCTCCAGCAAACCTCGTTGCTGCGGATCCAAGCTTTCGACCTCACCGGGGCTCATGGAAAAGAACGGTGCATCAAAGGCTGCCACATTCTCTTTTAAGAAATGGCCACCCCGCGCGTTTACCTGTCATGCTGTTAGGACCAGGTATCCTCGCCAGCGATGATCATACATACTGTGTCATTTCGAGACGCATCTGGGTGGTAGAAGCCATTTATATTAAATCGGTCAGAAGGAACTTCTGTTGTGACGGATCGACCTTCTTGGAGTATTTTCCAGAAGGATTGCGGGGAGGTGGCATCCTGAGGGAATCTCAAGGAGAAGCCCACGACGGCCACAGGATCAGACCCGTCAAGAGTCTGAGAACTCTGTAGTGCTCCACCGCGGGAGACAAGGCCGTCAGTCGTTAGTAGTTGCATTGTATAACTTCGTTGGCACTACTGAAGGCGCAGTGTTGATGAATGTGTTGGGAGAAAGGAAACCTCAATCGAGAGGATAAGTGGGAGTCCCTTCTTATCTACCTTGCTCCCCGCTGCGATCTCTCCCCGCTCGCCGTCACAGTCATCAATGTTGCGAGATAAATTACTCATGGCTCATCCGATTGCCAGCCTGACCGATTGGGAGCCTTAAGCGATAGCAAACGCAATCTGGCCATACGAAGTAAAGTGTGATGGAGCTGCATGGGCTAGAAACCTTTTTACGGTCCTGTCACAATCCATCATTTGCACATCGCCAAGCGCGAGTACAGTACTTTCCAGGGCTAGTCAAAAACAGTCAGAAACGAGTGCTATCAAGATAGTATCGACCGGGATCCGCAGCCATCGCCCCACAGCCTATAAGTGTGCCGAGTCAATAGTCTCGAACGAACAACCTACTATATCAAGGTATAGTCGCGGCCGACGATAGATACAGCGGAGCAGGTACCCGGATTGAGCCTCATTCCTGCCGGCTGGATCATCGCCAGGACTAGCATCCTTGGCCGGGGGTGTTGATCGTGCAGGGGCGGAAAGGTCAGTGCTGTTGTCTGAGCAGGTATTTTGACGGTCATGCAGTGTGTGAAAATCAAATGTTTGACACATGCCAATAAGGTGTGATGGTTGAATTGCCCAGAGAATGACCGGAAAGGGTATGATTGTCACTAGTCGACAAGCCACTAATGCAGCATCCCCTCTTCTCTCCTCTCTCTCGGCCGCTCCACTCGCTGCCCAGAAATGCCCTAAAATCTCACCCAGTCCACGCCGACGGCCACAGCCAAACAATGTGGCTGCTACACCGAAGAACGTTGGTCCAGGGCCACGAGCGAATCGCGAACTGCATCATGCGATATGCTCCGTTAGGATCCATCCGCTGGCTGACCCGCCCTCCACACCCAGGTTGGTCAACGATTAACCAGGTTAATGCTGGACGCTGACAGCCAGTTTAACCGGGATAGGCTTGATGATCCCTGTCGGGGGGCCCAGCTGGTGCCTAAGGAGGAGGCTATGGCAGTTATCCGGCCTGGCGACAGTGTCTATCTATCCCTAACCCAGTGTTTGCCCATTCCGCAACTGCCCTCCCTTCTTCCCGCCTGGGACCCACGGGGCCATTGCGACGAACATGATGCGGGGAGGCCGATGAGAAGTGAAGAAATAGACAAAGACTGAACAGTGAGTGCTCTTACTATGCACCATACTAGCTGCTGTGCTGGGGTGAGGGGCCAAGATTACGTTCATTTCTCAAATACATCTCGTCTCATCGCCGTCTCGTTTGGTCTCGTCCCCACCCCCTTCCTTCCTCCTTGCCGAGCCACTCTCCTCCGACCGTGCAATAACCTCCTCCCCTGGCTGAATAGACTCTCCGATCGCATGGGGGCCATAAGCCTTCCATGTGTGATGATAGTTCAGCTCGCCTGGTTCCAGGGTATGCGACCCTGCTGACAGCCAGCGATCATATTCCTTTTCCTTTTGCCTTTCCTCTAAGCTTCGCGGATCTAGCGCCCTGACGCCAGCCGTCGTCTTTCAAATCAATCATCACCTTCTTCTACACCTCCGCTCTTCTTTTACCGCGCTTCTGACTGTTGCTGATCGACTGATACTCGGGATTGGTACGCCGAGTCAGCCTCGCGAGGGACCAACCCCGGCCGCGTTTTCCCATTTCTTTCCGGCCTGCTGCTCGTGCTTCTCAATCTACCCCAGCACACCACCGTCAGGATGAAGCACATCGGCAAAACCGGCCGGGACAACCTGGGCGCCGCCATCTCGATGCTGGCGCTGGCGGTGGTCTCGGTCGCTCTCCGGTTGGTGGTAAGAATCATGACTCGACAATGGTCTCCCTTATCCGACGGCCTGCTTCTGTTATCGCTGGCATGCATGTCGGTGTTTGCGGCTCTGTTAATCCAGTGTATGTCGACGTCTCGAATAATTCAAGACGAGGAAAGAGTGGTTACTGATCCTATGGTCACCCAGATATTGTCGCGGGACCCGGCCCAGGCACCTTCGACCTGAACGAGTTCGCCGCCGATGCAGACATTGGGGGTATGGTATGGGCTAAGTCATTTCTGAAGGTGTGTTGCGCGGTGCCGTCCGTATGTGTGCGCGAGACTGACTGAATTCTCGACCTAGACACTCTATGTCGCCGACCTTTTCTTCATGGCGACCATCAGCTTTGTCAAATTGTCGGTACTAGCCTTCCTGCACGGTCTCTTCAAGATTTCCAAGATATACCGCATCTTGAACTATGTGACAGCCGGGCTCTGCGTTGCTTGGTTCCTCATTGTTCTGTTCGTCAACATATTCCAGTGTCATCCCATTCACATGTTGTGGGATGCGATGGGCGCTGCGGAATACTGCATTGCCAGTGGTCGGCTCTGGTTAGGGATGGAGCTCACGAACCTGTTCCTCGACGTTATGATCTTGTTTCTGCCTGTGTATGTGGTGACGAGGCTGCAGCTCAGTCGCACGCGCAAGATTCAGGTCACCGGTATATTCCTGTTGGGTGGACTGTGAGTGTTCTCTCTGACAATGTTGGAATTCGTTGCTGATCGCATGGAATAGAGTCTGCATTGCCAGTATCTGCAAGCTCTCCTATCTGTGGATTCCAGCCACGCCGCAGGTGGTCCGGGCCCCCGAGACAATGGTCTGGTCATCAGTCCAGCTGGGTGTGGCCACGCTCTGCGCATGTCTACCAACCTACGCCCCATTATTCCGAGTGGCACGGGGAAAGATGTCTACGGGGAAGTCGCCCTCGCCACCGTATCCCTACGGAAGCGACAACACGCCGCGCAATGCTCCGGCAGGTAAGAGCGCACCCTATCGACGGGTGGAAGATCCGCTGCTGAGTACCCAGCAGACGGAAATCACGCGCGGGGATGGCGAGTCGTACAAGATGGACCAGCTCGGCCCCTGCCACATCTACGTGAAGCAGAGTGTAGACGTTGATGTGGTCTAGCATTGGTCTGAACCCAATATTTCTTTGCGTTTTTCTTCGTTCAATAATAGTAATCCAACCCTCCGGGGCAATGATGGTCCATAAATTTCCGCCCCCAACCCCAACCCCTCTCCAGCAAAAGCAAATCTGTAAATTGCGTCGGAATCGTGTTGCATGCCGCTAAACTTGGTGCTTTTTTTAGCGTGCCGGGACCGTAGGGATATATATGTGGGTACTGGTTCCAGCCCAGTTGCAGAAGGGTATTTAGCGCTGATGAGCTGGAGTTGGGCCGAGTTCCGCCCGGGTGAGTGAATCGTATTTTTGAGGTCCTCAGTTAGTGTCACACACAGCTCTGAGCTAAGTGCGGATATTCTTTCATTCCTTCATTCTCCAAATTACACAATCGTACAGGCGGATGAGAGTCCACTGGTGAGAGAGGGAGTGATTGCCCCACTGGTACTACTGCTACTCAGTATATATTAATTAATGACTGAAACGTAATTCCGAATAATTCCAACTCCTGCATTTAATCAATTGATTGTCTGAGAGTTTATAGCTTTAGTAGATGCATTCCTCAACCCCCTCACAGCTAGATTAACAAATATACAAACCTCCTGGTAGTATCAAATGTATACTAATCGACAACTCAGCCCACAATGGATCCTATAAATCGTTAGAACAGTCATTCATCAATCATCTAAAGCACTCCCAGATAGAAAATATAACCCGAAAAGAATAAACAAAAATAAACGAATATAAAGGGGAAAATGAAGACATCCCCATCAAAGCAACGCACCCTTATTCGTATTAGTCTCATCCCCCAACAAATTCAAGACCATATTCTCCTTCATCGCCCTCAACCACCCCTCCACAAACCCCTTCTCATGATACGCCTCATTGTAACTCGCACTCAAATGCAACTCATCCCTCCAACTCCAACAATGCACATACAACTGCTGCGCCAACATCTGCACCATAAGCACCAAACCCTTCACCTTCACCTCCCCATATCTCTCCCTTATTAACCGATCCACAGACCCCAAACTATTAATATTCGGCTCCGTGGGTTGCGGTGCGCCCGCTGCCGCAGCAGCCTGGAACATAGCCGTGGCCTTTTCCACGAACGGCGCCCTGACAAACATCATGTCACTGTCAGCCAAGTTCCACGACTGACGGTACAGCGGCTGGATGGTTTCAACGAGGTCGGACCAGTTCGTTGTCGGCGTGGCTTCGACATTCAGCGGGAGGCCGACCATGCGCAGGGACGGGCCGTGGATGGGGCCGTCGTAGGGTGGGGGCAGGTATTTGCGGAGATCGAAGGCTTGCCAGGAGATGTAGCGTGACAATGGATTGGTAGAATTAGCAGCAGCAGCAGCACGCGCCGTCTCAATAATCGCAGAGGCATGCATAGCTGTCGTGAGGGTAATGTTTCTCGCACGACAGGCGCGACGCAGCGCGGTCGCCTGATCCGCGGGCACGACATGCTCCGTGCGGAGAGACTTCGCCGGTAAGGCTGCGGGATTGAGTACGGGGAGGCCGATGGAGGGTTGGCCTTCGAGGAAGGTAGCGAGGAGTTCGTCGGCGCGACGAGACCATTCGGGGTTTCTGGCCTCGGGGGAGGCAGGCATGCCGATGATGGCGTCTAGCGAGGGGATGAGCCGGGTGGCTTCGCTGCCGTCGAAGGAGGAGGTTGTGATGGTGTTGATGGTTGGAGCTTGCAGCTCGGAGAGGAACTGGTCTAGCACCATGGCAAGCCCGCTGCCGTCCCAGCGCCAGTGGGCTGAGACGATGCAGAATTCCTGGCTGCTGGGGATCCAGTGCGCGGTTGCGTGCGGGTCTGTGATGTGCAGCTTGTTGGTGAAGAGGTCGTCCGCGGATTGCTCTGATTCTTCGATTTTGAAGGTATTGTTGCACCAGGATTCTAGGGCTTCGGGGCTTGTGATCGGGTAGTAGCGCTTTTCGTGGGCGTGCAGTTCGCCGGCGATGTCGGGATAGCGCATGCGGAGGGATTTCCAGGCATTGCGGAGTTGTGCGATGATCTTGTCGGGGTTATTGTTATTGTTGGGGAAGTCGAGCTGGATGGCGCCGATGGTGAGCCAGTGTTCGCGACCGAGTGGTTTGCCTGACTCGCCGATGAATTGGAAGAGGCGGTCATGGCAGTCTAGGGGACGGCTCCAGTGGTCGGTTTGTTTGGTCCAGGACATGGTGGGGGTTACCATAGGATGGCAGCTGAAGTGGTGTGGATGGGTGAGTGTAAGAGGGAACAGTATAGTTTGGATAGGAGTTATAAAAAGTTCCTTTAACTGATGTTTGGTTGGAGTAATTCAAGAGCCTTGTAAATCATCCGGGCGGGGATCTCCAGGCAAGCCCTACCAACTATTCCATCCACCCCTGTAAGAACTTCACTGCAATCACTACCCTCCTCATCACTCACAATCTGCCTATAGTATCCTGCACTAAGATTTCTTTGTTGTGATACAGTTCTGACACGGCTTTCTCCGTTCACACTTCTCTCCCCCTCGAATCACACATTCCTTTCCCGCGACAGAACGCCTAATGGGTAAATCAGGCTATAGCAGTCAGCAATTCAATAGAGTTTTGATCATGCATTAGCGCCCTGAATCTCCACATTCTAGCCTCGTTCTCACAGCCCACCGTCTGGCCCCCACGTTACAAACGGTCTCTTGCATTCTGATTTCGTTCTTTTGTCGGTCTTTCTTTTCCCGTCTGACGGGCTGATTCCCGCAATCCTTGGCTGGTCGGATGGCCCGGCAATCTCAGGCTGGCTTGCTGGTGAATGGACACTTGTTCTTTCTCACATCAGCTATTTATTGGGAAGGGTATGTGGAATTTGATCGAAAATTCAAAATAGGCAATCGTGTTGCTTACGGTCCACTATGTAAATCCACATTTATCCGAAGGGGTAAGGCTGTGCGATACTGTGTGAACCTTGAGAATGATGACATGGGTTCTGAACGAGGCTAGGCGATGCATGCTGTAAGAATACCTTCCCACGGTTCAATCAGATAGTGTATTCGTTGATGTCTTTATTTCAAGCTTATTTCAAAAAGAAAATACGCTTTGAGGATCCATTCGAATGTTGCTGGAACGCAGGATCTATAAACATCCCTCATGCTTTGTAGACCTTGCCGGCCAAAGAAATATATCCACATACTAGAAAGTTGTCCTTCCAAAATCTCGGGCACTAAGTCTAAAATACGCAATTACTAACAAAAATATCTAACCAAAACCATAATGAGCTCAGTGCATATGCATGTAAGAGAAAGAAAGAGCAGTCGTAGCATTATTAACTAAACATGTAGGACATACAATGGACTGACATCCGATCACCCGGAGTAAAAGCAACGCAAGTGCCAGGGCTGCGGAGATCCGCCACGAATTAAGACATGCAACCCCAGGTACAATGACAAGTAGGACAGAAGAAGGATAACACGACACCAGCTGATGGGCCGCGTTACACTATGCAACGGTCACTTCGGAGAATATCACCTTCCTTTCAGTACAAAAGCAAAAGTCAGACAACATTAGCGCAGGGAGCCAACAAAGCTTGGCAGATTCTCTATGGTCGGGTTCTAAATTCAATGTCGAACTCCAGGTACGGGTCTTTGGCTTCCGATAAATCCAGACCTGGGTTGTTGGCTGAATTGATCACGATCTGCCATGTAGTGAACGGTCCAACCATGGCGTACTGGTCGTCAGTGGAAGCTGTGCCGATGATGCCATCCACTGTTCCTGGGCCTGTGTAGTCTTTTGTCTCAATCACGTAGCGAAAGTTTGTCACCACTGGCTGGTGGTCAAAGTTATGGACTGTACCCACTTCATCGACGATGGCCTCTTGGCCGGTATGTACGAGGTTAAGATCGAGATACCCAGTGTCTGTTTTTGCGCCATCAATAAAACAGCGGATGGTCATCAGTCGAATATCGACTCTTCCTTCTCCGAAGATGAGCCCTTGGGTGTCCGGGTTGATGGTCTCAGGATTTATAGCAAATTGTATGGTGTTGTTGTCGGCTGTAAGGTTTTGCAGATCCTGCTGGACATTGGGGATGGGGTAGGTGACACCCTTGAGTGACTGCATGGACTGGCCCCAGGATTCGACTCGTTGCGCGTAGTAGCTATCGAGATCCGAGCGGACATGGTTAAGCATATCATAAGTAAACTGTGAGAATCTGAAACCCTCCAGTGCATGTCCGATGATGTTCGTCTCATCCAAAGCGACAAATGCATAAGCTTGCTGCATCTTCTTAAGCCAGAGCTGGACAGTGGTGAGTGAATTGGTGTATAGTGTGCGCATAAACGCGGTCAAGGTAGGATATCCTAGTCCGAGCACATTGTACTCGTCACGGACGATGTCCTTCTTCTGGGTATTCAGGCCCTCGATCGTTTCTAGGTAATTGACAAGAAGCTGTACATCTGCACTGTATTCCATTACCGCGGAGTTTCGGGCTTGTACTTTCTCTGGTGTTGATGTACATCAGCAATGACATGTTCTTGAGATTAGACGTTGTATAATCTTAGAGCTAGGTCGAACTCACCAATATATTGACCGAAACACTCTTTGACTTTGTGGAGAACCTCAACTCCAAGCGCAGCATTAAAGTCGGCTAGTAGCTTGTTCAATTCTGTTTCCAATAAAAGCAACTTTTCGCAGCCTGGATCATCGAATTGGGCGTCTCCATCGACCAGAACCGTGTACCCCTCATGCAGATCCTCGATGGAGCCTTCGATCTGAGTGACAGCGCTCACAAGGTAAGACTTGTTGATGCCGACCCCAGTGTCTTTGGAAATCTTAGTGGCGTTGTCGTACGCCCATTTGGCGCCCGCTTTGACAACATTCAGCGTGGACGTGATATCGCCTTTCAGCGAAACAACTTGACTGAGTCCGTTAAGGAGGTCTCCAAATTTGAACTTGAAAGCACTGGCTATCGCGTCTTCCACTTCCTCAATGGCTTCTGTCAGGCGTACTTTGGTTATTCTCATATCCTCCTGGGCCACGGCAATCTTGGAGTCTATTGCTATCAGATCATATTTTACTGCGACAATCGAATTTTGGATCTGATCCTTGGAGGTGTCACATAGGGAGCCTCTTTTTGCAACTGCCTGGGCCTGTTCCTGGGCATCAGTATCATTGTTCAGGTACCCCAAATATGCGTTCTCAATCTCTTGCAGGTCATTCAGAAACCGGTCGGCGTATTCTTTGTAGAAGGCAAAGGATCCCCTCGGAACCTTGAGGTTCTGATCTCCATATGTATCTTTGGGAGTAACAAGGGCTTTGATGGTTTTGTCCACTTGGCTATAAAGTGATCGAAGCTGTTGTATCGATGCAGGCTCCTCATCCTTTGCTCCGGAAACAATCATTAATGATTCTTCCGCTTTTCGATATGCTTATCCAAGATTGGTAGCGGAAAGGTCATCAGGGCAAGAAGGATCTCCGAAGAACCAGAATCGTCGTTGGAGTTGCTGAAGGTATCGTAAGGCGCTGGCCTTCTGGTCGTCGTTGTCAAGGAACAAAAGAGCTCTGGCCTTATCAAGAAGCATTTGGCACTCAACTGGGTGTAGGTAGCATACAGTGGAATTTAAGACTGTTGAGGTGGAGTCTATGAAGAAGGATTGATGTGAACCATTTGATCCACTCTTGCCAGATTGCCCCTGACCCTGGGCGCTGGTCCCTCCAACACCATATGTTCCCCCGTTGGCATTTATACTCTTAGTCACCTCGGAAAGCAGTGAGTCTTCGTTCATCAAAAGCTTCTGATATGCCTTGGCAACACCCGATGTAAAGGTGTCTTTTGATCCGCTCAGGATCAGTTTCGCATCTTTCATGGAAGACGGCAGGGCATAGATATCCTTGACTTCTTCCTGATCCATCGTGCTGATCCAGGTGCGAACAGTGTCTCGAAAGTCGATTGGCCATTGGCTATCATCACTGTTAAGCTTTGTTAACAGCGAGTCCGAGAGGATTATCGCTTGGCTCAAAAGCCTCCCTAGAAGCACAGTGGCATGTCCGCCATCACCTCCATCGCCACCGTCGGCGGGAGATTCGTCCTCTGTAGTCGGGATACCATCCCAGCCGTGACCACCAGAAACTGTATGGATGAAAGAAAAAATAAATCGTCTAGTTAGCGAAAGTAACCTTAACAACCGGATGATAAGTGCAGAAAAGCCAGTGCAGCTGATATCGATATGATGACAAAGACAACCAGAAGACTCAAGAAAGGTGCCAACTGTACCATTGATCTGTATTTTCTTCACACTATCCGGTGAAAATCTCTCCACATAGAGTTCGATGTTGCCACCAGATGCGCCATTCAGATGATCCTTTGTTCCATCTTTTCCCACCAATCCCAGTGACACCGGGTCACTCGATTCTTCAGGAACATCAATCTCATGAGTGTACAATTTGAAAGTAGCCGTGGAGCTGTTATTATCGTCAAAATCATTTTCGGCGACGAGCTGCCTTTTCAGAGAAAACTTTTCAATATAAAGGGAAATGCCATCTTGCAATCCAGTTACTGGTGCGAAGGCATCTTCGGACACTGAAAGAATGAAGATTGGGTTTGCCAGAGGATATTCAACAATGTCGGGGTTCATTCTGAAGAATGATATGAGAAGTATTGGATAGTTGTTCACGGGTATAAGGGAGATACCAAATCGGATTGTAGAGAGATATAATAGCTGAGACTAGGATTTTCGGTTTTCTTTCTTGACTTCTCGAGGTGGGATTCGCTCTTAAATCATGTTGTCTCCATCAACACATCAGGCCTGTAGTCAATGATCAGCTGCACTGTGAGGAGCTTAGCTACCCGAAAATTGAGGGAACTGACCAATGCCTGGCAAAAGTCAACCATGTACCAATTGCAATGCCTTCGGCTGACTTCGGCTGAGTATGAATCTATGAGAGGTATTTCGGTAGTGAGGTGTCTACAACACCTACAGTGGCAAAATTTCTAGATCTAGATTCCAGCCGATCATATGAGCTGCATGCCAACATTACCTCCATCGGAGCTGAAAGTTGAAATTCCTAGGTGTACTTCGATGACAGGGTCCTTCGGGGTTTGGACTGACTGTCGCGATAAACCTAGCGCTCGGGCTATCAAGAGAGATAGCCAATCTCTGCCGAAAGACAACTCCACTAGGGCTGAACATCTTCCTGCGGTGACCTCATCAAAGGCTCGGTCCGTATTGAAGAGGAGTATTATAAGTGCGATACGCGTACTGTTCCCGGATCCTAGATCTTCATCTATATTGCCCCTTTCCGCTATTCTTGTCTATCCGGAAACATCTCCCGGATTAACCCTACTATTGCCTCTTAAATCCCTCAGAATTAATTTATGACTGGTTTTTATGGTATCTAGGGTTGCATCAGATCAGATCCTGCAATATAATGTATTTCCCGAACAGGCCCCCTGCATATACCCCGCCCCAGCTGAAAATCCGCCAGGACAATTAATTTAGAGCCCAAGCCCGTGCTATGGGCCCTTGATGTGATCCTCCACCTATCGTGGCTCGCACCGCTGCGCAAGCGTTATTTCTGGGCGTCACTGTCCAACTCGGTGGCGATCTTGCCTACCAAGAGGAATATCACTGATACTACTGGCTGTACGAGATTTTGATCAATTGATGTCTTTTTCCCTATGCTGGGATAGACCGTGAGATGGATGCTCAGCTGGTGGCAATTGAATCCTCTCCTTCTCCGTCCAGGCCCAATTCCTTGAGCCCAGGTCAGAAGACCATTCCATTGTAGCTTCTTGAAATGACTTCATGGCCTGGAAGGGATCAAGTGCCATCGTCCATGTATATAAAGCCTATCCTATGCCTCGAAACCAATTATCAGCATCACTTCCCAATTTCATCGATTCTTTGACATTGTTCTTAAAGGAAACTCCTATCTACCCATTATGTCGACCGTGTTCCAATCCAGAGCCGACTTCCACCAGAGTCTTGTTCATTATGGCCAGACCACCACTGATGGCTGGGATGTGATTGTCAGCTACTCTGAGGAGAAGCTTAATGCCCTGTTGAAGAAATACTGGTCTCAGAGGTTTGATCAGGCTCAGATTTCATTCCAGCACAAGTCAGGCACTGATGACAATTATTTCATGTACACTTGGAACCTCACTTTCGACAACCCAACCCTATCCTTCAAGGCACTCGCTACCACTCATGGCGATGTTGCTGTCTCTGCTATATCGTGGAAGATATCAGGCACCATGAATACCGTAGCGCACTTTAATGGCACAGATACTGATTTGGGTGATGAGGACATGGGGAAGGATCAAGAAACCTACTTAGAAGTGGTAACGCCGGTCTTTGCTATGGATGGGGAGTCAACCGATACCAGCCAGGCCAAGGTTAGTTTTATGTTCCATATCATGAGCTTCTTCATATTGGGTACTGTGCGGAACATACTGAATATCAATACGCTATAGACAAGTGATTCAACCTTCCAGTTCAGCGATAACGCCGAATCTAGCTACAATATCATCCTCCATTTCCAGAACGTACAGGACTCCGACTGGTCTGTCACAATGCCTGACTCGAGTGACCCGCTCAACGATAGCCTCACAAAATTGGTGAATGCATTGAACAACAATGAGGAGTTCAGTTCATTCACCTTCACTCTCGGGACGGTTACAAACAAGAAGGATCAGACTTCTGATTTATTGCAGCCACAGGAATTCAGGTTCAATGCTACCGAAGGTGTTTTGAGCATCTTCATCAAAGTTAAAGGCGGCAGTGGCAAGGGAACTGCGGAAACACCACAGTTCCAGCTTACCCATGAGAGGGGTATCGCGGCTATTCCTAAGGGCTATGAAGCGAGTATTATTCTCTCTCAAACACTCATCCGGAATGACTATCTCCTTAAACAGATTGGAGAGGCCTGCAAGGATCAGTTACAGAGTAGCGGCGGCGTGACGGTTGATCAAGCATATCGAAATCCGACCCTCCTTTTGAGGTTCAAGTCCGAAAAGGTCTGGGAGGGTGAATCAACGAGTAACGGTGGCTGGCCTGTGAACGGCAAAGGAGAGATCACTGTAGATTGGGACAAATATCCTTTGATGCTGTCTATTTTTGATGACGGTACGCCGCTTACGTCTCATTACAAGTGGGTCTGGGATAATGCTTCGGTTGAGTTGTCCTACACCACAATGGATCCAATCCATGGAGCTCAAGGTGGGCCATATACTGCCACTACTACTGGGAGTATCAAAGCCGTAAGTCAACTTTCCTATTCCAAATTACTTTATGAAGGAGCACTTCAAGCTAAGGAAGAAAGAACTCGACGCCCGTCGCGACTGTTTCAGGTGACACATTGAAGTTCGATATCCAATTTACTTCCGATAATCAGCCGAATGCTTCCTTCTCCAACGTCGGGCCTGCAGACATGAGTGGATCAGTCGAATTCCCGACATTTAACCTCGGACTCCCTGACCTCAATTTCTTTCAAACGCAGAATGTGCTAGCCCCAGGGGAGCATTTTATCAAGGCGGAAGACACTATGTGTCCGTGCGACTTGTTTGTTCTAGGATCGATGTATAGCTGATAGGTATCTTGTGGACTGCTTAGCCTGATATGTTAAAGTGCTCAACAAGAAACGTACTCAGAACGGATTATCCCGAGCTAACAGGGCGCTTTCTGGTTATTCGAGGTAGTGGGCAAATCAAAGAATGATAGCTTGAAAAGGTGTCAGTTAATTATATGTTTATACTTTTTCGTTGATTTGGGTAGATTTAGCTACGGCGATAACTTTCTTATACTGTAGGATTGATTATTTCATGATTACTGTGCGTTTAAGAGCACCAAGAATATTCCGGGTCATATTCTCATTTTTTTTAATGGAATACCTGTAAAGCTAGTACCTTACATTTGAGGCTCAATTAGGTAGAAAAATCTGAACAGGATGAAATTGAATATTGCCAATGACTGAAAGATTAAAATCAAAGACAAACTGATTAAATAGCAAGTACACGGCAGCAGAACCACTTGATAGAAGCAAGATTCTACCCGATGCACCAGACCAACGTTTCCCTTAGTAGAGCGACCATTGATCAGACTTCTCATCATCACTTTTGTCTTCGGTCTCTGACTCAAAGACGCCTAGCATAGGATCCCTACCTCCTACCTTTCGGGAGAGAGTTGCAGCTTCTCTTATTATATGGCAGACGCGACCGATGACCTCCTTTTGGTCCAAGTACCAGGACAAATCTAATTTGGTTGAATACTATATTGTATACATTAGCTTCAGTCAAACGAAGAAATGAGATAAGAAAGAACAATAAACAAAAAGTGTCTGGGATCCGTACCTTGCCGCTATCGTTCAGGTGGAAGAAATTCCAGGTATAGGTATCGGTATGGATTCCGTAAATGTCCCCGTTATCGCCTGCCTCTTTCCGCTGGCGATGAATAGCGGCTGGTCGACCGAAGTCAATGTCCATCAACTCTAGAAATGACAAGGGGGTACGAATGAACTTACACATGGCTGCAAGGACCCCCCAGCCCTCATCGGGAAAGATCGTCTGTTTCCTGAGCACAATGACGTTTGTATCCAAAGTTGGGCGGCAGCCGTACAGTAGAAGAAAATGCATAGTAATCTCCACAGTATCAGTTTCGAAGTCAGTGACAGGTGGGAGAATGATTTTCTGGTCAACCATCCAGCATGGCGTTGAATAGTCAACTGAAGGGCGCTCGGAGTTGGACGCAGACTCAGTTGCTGGATCTTCTTCGTTAACTCCACTGGTGCAAGTTTCCTTCAAGACCTTGGCCAACAACACCATAAGTATTGCACTCAGTCGAGGCCGAATCAATCTCGCGTCACAGTCTCCAGAACCGAGCCCTAAAGCAAAGTCCTCCAAGAGAGTCTCTTTGGAAGTAGTAGTTAGAAGCGACGTTAGATATAGTTTTCGGGGGATCATCACATACCCAGATATTCTGGTATTTGAACATCCGTAAGGTTCTGGCCAGTCTGCCATGGCTTCTCCGCTTCTTCATTCTGAGCCCGAGTGAGATCGAGACCAAGTCTGAAATAAGGTGCAAGGGAAGTCATGTCATTCCCCACCCCTATATCCTTGGGATTATACATATCCATTTTGTACTGTGTGACGATAATAGAAGTGAAAGGAATTTAGAAGGATGAAGTGGATGATGGTGAGAGAAATGAGTGAAGATGAGGTAGAGATGCGGTGAAAGCTTGAAGTATGAGGTTAATGCGAAGTCATAAACCACCCATATAAAGAATGACGAAATATCAACTACATCATCCTTTCTTTCTTTCGCCATCACCACCTTAAAATCTCAACACCTTTCTTAGTAACCTCATCTTCTAAAATCGAGATAAAGAACCAGCAATGGAGGCGATAATTAACCGTCTCGAGGCCAGGATTAAGGCCGCCATCTCTCGATCTATCGGTGAAAAAAAGAAGAAAGAGCTGGATTCAGAAATCTCCAGACATTTCGACTTAGCCAAGACAGAGTCACGCCAAGGACAGCAAGGTCAAGGATCATCCTGCCCCCATAAGCCAGTTACTAGTATTAAGCCCGAAGATGTCGAGAAGACCTTCGGCATCTCTGTGGATTCAACCGGTGGAAACTGGACTCTGTCGGCGAAGGATCGCATCGCAATCCCCCAACATCTCAGTAAGCCGCTTTCCGAGCGTTACTATATCAAGTCTTTACTAAATTAATGCA